TGCAAACTTCTTAGCTGTGGTAGCTAATTTTCAGAGATTTCACAGCAAACATCTGTTTACTGCTGCAGCTAATTTCTTTTTTTCCGTGTACTGTAACGAAACAAAATTCACTTCCTATTTTGATTCTGATACTGTAACGAAACAAAATTCACTTCTATTTTGATTCTGATACTGTAATACTGCAATTCGGTTTTCTTATAGAAACAGAAGTCGATTCGAATTCTACTTCAGATTTCTTATGTAAAAACGATATTATCTTCTGATATATTTGACATTTGCAAAAAATTTAGGTTCAATGAGACTTATACATGCGCAGTAGTATTTTATCAAAATTAAAACAAAAAAGAATTTTGATTTTGATATTGAAATCAAAACGAAATAGAGTGGAATTTTGATTTTGATATTAGAATCAGAACTAAATAGAGTGGAATTTTGATTCTGATACCCATATCCGAATCAAAACAAAAGTATTTTTTAATTTTGTTTTGATTCCGTGACGGTCCCTGCTTAATATTAAACAAATTTTTAGTATTTTAAAAGAATTAATTTGTCTAGTTTTTCTACTAAAGCGTTGACCAGAATTTATAAAGTTGGGCTATATAATAACTTGATGAAAAAGGCGTGACACTCCATTCCAGTTATTAGCCAGTTGGCTAGTAAAGTAACTAGACAATTTCAAGCGCGACTGGATAGTTCCTTTATAATAACTAGGACAAATTTCTACTAGGGCTCTATTGTATTTAGGCTTGCCTTGCAGTAAAACGACAACCGCCATGTGTATTTCTACCTATCAAGGGTTATATTGTTTTATGACGGTAACTCTGGTCAACCGTTTGCACTCCCTCGCTATCTTCATACCTGCATCAAAAACCTCTTCTTTTGCACAACCATCCTTTTTCAAAAATTCCATGATTGCCAGATTTTACATTATTTTCAAAAATAGATGTTGCGAAATGTACCTGACAACTGCAATGCTGTTAGGTTATGATTACTTTGGTCAGAATACGAGTAATCGCCGGACTCACTACACCTCGGCAATGATTACTCCGCGCACTCAAAAGTATTTTTAAACACAATTAACCCCTCTTATGTATTCAGTGTTGATTTTTTAATGTTTGATTGTAATAAATTAAGATATTTTAAAATGTTAATTTATTGTTTCAAAGTTATTCAAAAACTATTGCACTTGAAACTCAAATCACAAAAAATTAACAAATTGATATGATTTAATTCACTGCGTATCACAATTTGCACCTTAAACAAAAATTACAGTTTTCACGTAAAAAACTATATATGACGGGATCCACGTCAAGTGACCCAGGTCCAAACTTAAAATGTTTGTGATCAGGTAAAAAGTTTGCACAAACAGTAGTCCTATTAGATACAATAAAAAATATCAAATATTATTAATTTATTTAAACAAATATAAAAACTGGAGGGGGTCAAAGTTTAAATTTTTGGTCTTACATGGAATATTAGAAAAATTTGTAGTTTCTTTAAAACAAAACGAAAATACGTTTTCTATTTTGGATTTTTCTGCTGTTTTTCAACACTTTCTAATGGTGTAAACAAATGTAGAGAAAAAAAAATTTTTTGACCTTGAAAAATTAAATTAAAAAATCAAATTTCATTTTTTTATCAAATGGACAGTTTTTATTTTTTAAAAAAAAATTTTATCATAAAGGTGAGGTTTTTTCCTAAAAAAATGTATAGGTCAAAACATGGGACAAGAACTTTTAACTGGTCAAAATAAACATTTACTTCTGCAATCCACCGCCCCTGCGCGTTGTTGGGCTGTATATTGTTTATAACAATTGAAATAAATTATTTTATGCTTTAGTAATTATCTGGTGGTCATATTGGATGAATTTGAATTGATTTAGATCATGTGCAGCAACGGAATAAGAAAATAAACGTCCTTTTTTAAAAAAGTGTATTAATTTGTTAACTTTGATTAAAAAAAATTATAAATAATTAAAATCCCCAAAATTGTCCTCGAAGGATGTCTTAAGAATTTATTCCCCTTTAATTTAAAACAAAGAACACTCAAATCGGTTAAAAATTGTAAGGTGTAGACATTTTTTAATAGTAAATTGTAAAAAAAATTCCACTGCAGGTCGGTGCACTGCAGAAGTAAATGTTTATTTTGACCAGTTAAAATTTCTTGTCCCATGTTTTGACCTATACATTTTTTTAGGAAAAAACCTCACCTTTATGATAAAATTTTTTTTTAAAAAATAAAAACTGTCCATTTGATAAAAAAATGAAATTTGATTTTTTAATTTAATTTTTCAAGGTCAAAAAATTTTTTTTTCTCTACATTTGTTTACACCATTAGAAAGTGTTGAAAAACAGCAGAAAAATCCAAAATAGAAAACGTATTTTCGTTTTGTTTTAAAGAAACTACAAATTTTTCTAATATTCCATGTAAATTTTTGACCTGGGGCACTTGACGTGGAACTCGTCATATATAAATTCATTGCACATTGCAAAACACTTTTATTCACATGGAAAAACTAAAGAATATAAAAATTCACCAACAGTATCTGAAGAAAATAATCACAAATTGCACCTTAACGGTGTTCTATGGTCTCTTAAATTTCTAGAGTATGTGCAACAAACAGTTATCACCCAACAAATACAGCACTGACCGGTTTAAATGACGTAAAATTGGTAAACAATCACTTTCGAACTAATTTTTCTCTACACACAGACACTTTATACAAAATATGTCAACGTACAATGGATAAGCATCTCCTATATTGCAACCGCGTTTCTGAACGGATTAACCCTTTCAGTCACGCAATTAGGATAATAGATAATACATTATAAACGCTATGGTAAATAGGGTTTCTGGGGTCAATGAATACGAATCTAAGGTCAGATTTGCAGAATTTTCAAAATTAAAAATGGCGGATTCAATATGGCGAATGAATTTTTAAAAATTTGTTTGCCATATTGGATACGCCATTTTTAATTTTAAAAACTAATATCGGATTCGTAGTCAGCAACCCCAAAAACCCCAGAGTAACAAGTTTTAAGCAAATTTGATGGGTTTTAACAAATTAATCTATATTATTTATGTTTTTTGTTATTAACAAACTTATACACGACAACGCATTATTTCAGGTTTAACTTGACTGAAATAAAAGTAAATTAGTAGCATATACTTTAAATTATAATTGTTTTCTGAATTCTCGGGGTTTGCTGAATATTAATCTAAAATCAGATATGCAAATTCAAAATGGTGGATTCAATATGGCGGAAAAAATTAAAAATTAAACAAATTTGCTTGAAAATGGTCTCTCGGGGGTTTTTGGCGTCGCAGATTACGAATCTGAAGTCAGTTTTTAAAAATTCAAAATAGTGGATCCATAAATCCATATGGCGGACATAAAAAGTTACGAATTTGGAAACACCCTCCTCTTTTTTAATATGGGCTTGGGACCGGCAGTAACAGAGTTTCATTTTTTTTTAAATTTTTAATTTTTTTAAAAATGTTTTTAATGTTGTTTTTTTAATGTTTTAATACTTTTATTAATTTTTTTTATTTTTTGAATATTTTTATATTTGTCGTAATAAACGACAAAAGACAAGTGACGAAACATAAAAGACGAACGACAAAAAAAACAAAAGACAATCAAACGAAAACAAAGGAAAAATGACAAACGACAAAAAAACAGTACTTCTCTCCTATTTTTACTATTATTGTTGTTATAGTCGTAACATTAGATTCGCCATTTAAAAATTTTGTAAGAATGATTCCAGATTTGTATTTATACACCCCGCAATCTTCCAAGAAGCAGCATTCAGTCCTATATTGTCAATTTTTAATTTTTGACTATCATATTGTATCCATTATTTTAAAGTTAGAAAAACTGACTTTAGATTCGTAATCAGTGATCTAGAAAAATCCTAAGCGGTAATTTTCAAACAAATTTGATGGATTTTTTATTTTTTCGTACAACATATTAAATCCTTCATTTTGAATTTTAATAAACTGACTTTAGATTCAGAATCAGTGACTTCAAACACCTCCAAATGCCAACTTTTAAGCAAATTTGTTTCATTTAAAAATTTTGTCGACCATATTGGATCCGCCATTTTGAATTTTGACAAACTGACTCCAGATTTGTAATCAGCGATCCCAAAAACCCCCGAAAGACTACTTTAAAGTAAATTTGATTAATTTTTTTAATTTATCGTCCGCCATATTGGATCCGCCATTTTGAATTTTGAAAAACTGACTTTAGATTCGTAATCAGCGACCCCAAAAACCCCATAGTGAGAACTCTTAAGTAAATTTGTATAATTTTTAATTTTGTCCGCCATATTGGATCCGCCATTTTGAATTTTGAAAAACTGACTGCAGATTCGTAATCAGCGACCCCAAAAATCCCCGAGTGACAACTTTCAAGTAAAATTAAATAATTTTTAATTTTATAGTCTGCCATATTGACTCCGCCATTTTGAATTTTCAAAATTTTGAAAATCTGATTCCAGATTCGTAATCAGTGACCCCGAAAACCATAGGTACTATACCTATTGTAGATATTTTTTAATTTCCCAAATTATGGGACTGAAAGGGTTAACCCTCTACATTCATTAAACGAGATGTCTTAGTGCATTTTTTCAATAGAGGTTAGTGAAAGGTGACTAATTCAACTTAAAAAAGTTTTTTCTTAAACAATCTAATATTATTTTTATTTTTAGAACAGCAGGGACATCAATTATCATTTAATTGAAGAAACTTTTAGGATCGAGTTTGGAATTATCTTCATTACAGGATATAACAAAAATTGCTTTACAGATTTTAGGCTTATAATCCGAACACACTTTTTGCTTATGAATATTTTTATTTATATACTTTATATTATAATTTTAAACAGAAACGTGTCAGTATAAATTTTAGTTATAAAATTGAGTGATATAATTAAAGAAAAGGAATCTATCATTTGTAAAAAATCAAAATTTATTGAATTTTCTACATACAAGACTGAATGTAATGTAATAATAATAATTATGTGAAAAATTTCGTTTAAAAACTCTAGAAGTTTAAATACTCTAAAAATCTTCTATTGCTTCCAAATTTTTTTTTCCTATTGAAACTCTAAAGTTTTGATGAAAAATATGATAAATTGCCTAAAATGCATAAGTGTTTTTATATTAGTTAAGTTTTTAAGTATTTTATAAATTTAATTAATTTTTGTACATTTATTTGTTAATAATCTTTTTAAAAAATATTTTAAATAGAGGTCATTAAAAGTATCCGATTTCCCAATTCGTGAGTCTTCATTCCTTATTCAGCAATCCAACGAAGAATCCAAAGAAGATGAAAAGAATAAAGAAAACCTTAGTTTTCTAGTAGATGGAGAAGCTCGGATAAGTATCTGCTAAAAAAATTAAATTAAAAACACTTTTTATATTTTAAAAAATCGTCCTGTTTTTATAGTTTTAGGGGAGAATGGCATAGCTTCGAACACTCTTAATTTCTAATATAATAATGTGTTTTTACTATTGAAACAAATTGCAACAGTTATATAATGTTTAACTTTTATTTTTGAAATATTGATTCAGTATTTTCTTTTTCTTTTTTTTCAAATTGAATTTTCTAAAAACCTGAAAGTGTCCGGACACTTTAAAGAACGTATGTACGCTACATTGAATGTCTTATAAAACCTTATTTTATGTTGACTTTCTATAAATATTGAATAGATTTTTCAAATTATTTCAATTACATGGTTTATTTTCATTGTTTAAGACATCATTTGATGTTACTTTATCTAGTCCTATATGTCAAAATATTTTTCCCCTTGTCCGGGGCTACCCGACAAATTGTAGGGATTTTAATACTCAGATTTTTCCTCATTTTTCTTTTAAAAGGTTTGATTATTTTATAAATGAATTTATGTTAGAGATTGAAAGAAGTTTTCTGTTTAATATTAAAAAGTTTAATTAATATTCTAAAAATAAGAACACAAATTATTCACCGAAAAGCTTAAGTGTTGGAGCTACCCCATTCTTCCCTATGTATTAAGGGGTTACATGGGTCAAAACGTCCGGACAATGTATGATTGTTTAATTTTTTTTTCATAAAATAAATAAATTTTTTTATTTGAGTGTTTTTATATCTTAAAGTACACTATTAAAAGAGTAACTTGTAAAAATTTCGTTAAAAAATATTTAAAATCAGGGCCGTACCTACAGGATCTTTGAAAACCCTTCCAAAAAAGCGGTGGTCACGATATCTTCTGATTGGTTCATTTAAAATCAAAAAACCAAATATTTTCTGTTAGTGGATGAGTATAGCTCGTGATTGAACGAAGGAATATGTTTTTGTTGATTAGAACCGATTTTACATGGTCTTAATGGTTCTAAAAATTTTAACTTTTGATAAAAGACACTGTCAAACATCCAAATTTCAATTTCTTTGAATACCCTTCGTTCAATCACGAGATATATTCACCCACTAACAGAAAATTTTTTGTATTTTGATTTTAGATGAAGGAGTCAAAAGATATCTTGACCACCGCAAAAGCAATTTTTTTTGAAAGGGGCTCGAAGAACTGTTGCTACGGGCCTGATTTTGAATATTTTTATAAAAAATTTAATATCTTTCTCATTTAATAGTGTACTTTCAGATACCAAAGTGTTCAAATAAAAAAATTTATTTATTTTATGAAAAAAAAATTATTAAAAAAACATACGTTTTCAGGTCGTTTTGACCCATGTAACCCCTTAATTTTTCTTCTATTTTATCAACTCTTTGTAGTTAGTCATTAGATTTTGTTATTTTTTATAGAATAAGATTAAAAATACTACACGCGTGCATATTAAAAAAATACTCTAAAATGTTATTTGGTATAATATGTTTCATACCTATACAACTAAGGATCAAACCATGCTTAATACCGCTGCCAAGTTGTATATTTTTGTTATAATTTTGGTGTTAATTTTATTAACACTTTGCTTCTTCATAGATAATAATAATAATAATAGAAATATATAAATAACTTTTTATAAATATGGTAAAAGTAATTCAATCTTTCTTCAATCAATGTATTTTTAAATATCCTACAAGATAGCTAAAAAAAAGTTTTTAAACAAAAAAGTTGAATATCTCCGGTGAATATGGACAAAAAATGTTTAATAAGGGCTCAAAAGATGCGTCTAAAAAAACTCTACAAAATTAGAAAAAAAAGTTTAATATCTCCGGTTAATATGGACAAAAAATGTTCAATAAGGGCTCAAAAGATGCGTCTAAAAAAACTACAAAATTAGAAAAAAACTTTTATAGTTGTTCTAACATAAGTATATAATAGTATAACTATAAAAAATATAGTTAAGCTTTATCAATCGGGCTGAAAATACTCTTATATTACCCACATAGCACAACTTCAGGCGAAAACCAAATGCCCACCCTTTTGCGAGTTCGCAGAGCGAACTCGCTGCTGGGAGGTTAAAATGCGAATTTGCTGCGAAATTGAAAAGCAAATTAGCTGAAAACTTAAAATGCGAAATCGCTCAAAAGTTGAAATGTTAATTCGCAGCGAATTATCTGGAAGTTATCCACGATAAGTTCAGAAATTATCACTGATAATTTTAGATAGGTTGTGGATGTAAATTTGCTAAAAAAATAAGACAAATATTTGTTAAATATTTAAAATAATATTATAATAAAATAAAAAAAATTAATTTTACTCATTTTATTATTTAATTATTATTCTAATTAATTTTGGGAAGTTAGGAATTTTAGAGACAGTTTTTTTTATTTTGAAAAACAATTAGGGGGGAATGGGGATTGAATGCGGGTTTAACGGACGGAAACGAAAACAAAACAACCAACCTAACCAACTGCGCTAAACGACCAACTACTGAAACAAAACAATCTTTCTCTTAAGTTATAAGTGACTTTATTGGTTGACAAATGAAAGGCAGGTTACCGTAAAAGAGGCTAACTTCGGTCATGTTGGGTTAATTCGCTCAACAGATACCTATTTTTTCAAATTCGATTAGCATATTTTTTAGACAGAAATATTTAAGATTTACAATTATTTTGGTTAATATAAATGGTGAACTTTAATTGAAAATTTATTTGCAGCAGATTCATTGGTAACTTTCAATAAAAATTATATTTAAGGGGACATTCCAGTTCAAAACAGGCAAAAAGAAGGCTTTTTTAGTATATATTATTAAAATAACTGTGACATTTATTTAAAAAATTTCTTTTACATGTAATAAATAATTTATTTAAGAATTTGTAAAAAAAAAATTTTCATTTTTATTTCAAAATGGCGGCGATATACGCCATTTTCGAAAATGCCCATTTTCGGTGGTAAGATCGATTCCAATCTTTCTAAAACAGATAAAACCAAAAACGAAGTGACATTCTCTTCGTTAGATATTTCTTCAGGTGTGGAACCTCAAAAAAGTAAAATTTTCTTCCCCCAATTTTTTTAGAGTACTTTTTCCCCAAAATATGCAAAAAAAGGTGTTTTTATTCAGAATTTCTCCTATAAAAAAAGGGAGTTGGAAATTTTCCAGTTTTTGAGGTTCCACTTATAGGCATGATGACGCTTAATCAAAAGCCGTTTGATTTTTTTAAATCGCTTCAGAAGAACTCGAGATATCACTCTTACCAGATCAAAAAAATACATTTTGAGGAAAACGCATTTAAAGTTTTTGTTCATAAGATTCGAAATTTTTTTTAAAAAATCATCGGATTTGCTTGAAAATCGTTACTCGGGGGTTTTTGAGGTCGCTAATTACGAATATGGAATCAGATTTTTAAAATTCAAAATAGCGGATCAAATATGGCAGACATTTTTTTTTCAAAATCATTGGATTTGCTTGAAAATCGTTACGAGGGGGTTTTTGGGGTCGCTGATTACGAATATGACATCATTTTTTCAAAATTAAAAATGGCATAAGCAAAATGGTAGACGAAAAAAAAATTAAACGAAAAAAAAAATAAAATAAAAAAATTTTCTTTTCCGCCAAATTGGATCCGTCATTTTGAATTTTGAAGATTTGATAACTAATTTGTGATCAGCAACACCAAATACATTTTTTTTGTCTTTTTTAAAAAATGCAGATGAAAAAACATTTAAATCATTCGATTGCTTATCCGCATACAAAAACATCTTTGACATGGCGAAGAATAAGGATGTATAACTTTTGTTTTACTTCCGAGTTTGCAATAATATTTTAGGAGAGTATTCTTGACACTATAAGAAATCCGAAAATAAAAACAAAAAATCGATTTTTTTGACATTTTGAACTGGAATGTCCTCTTAAACCACAAGTGAATAATTTTCTGAACATTACATTTCCTGTATCTCCAACATGATTTTCATAAAGCACAACACTAAAAGTAATAAATAGATTCTGCAAAAAATCAATTTTTTTAAAAAGTTCAGTAGTGTAAATTCGCTCAATAAATAAGTCTACAAAAAAGATGCGTAGGCCTGGATATTTTAAGTATGTTAATTATTTTAATTTATAATTCGATTTTTTTATTAATAATACTCTTATAACTGAAAATTAAATGATTTAACCCATTAACGCCCACCAGGACGCAAAATGTACCATGATTTCACGACTCTTACTTTGTATGAAATAATTAGTTAAAAATTTTAGGGAATACCATTATCGACGTAAAATTTATCGCTTTTTCATAATATAAAGCCAAAATTTGTTTATAATTATCACAAAAAAATGTATAACAATTTTATTGCAAAAAAAACACACTTCTTTACGAAAAAATTTTTTTTAATTATTATTTTGACATGGAAAATTAAAGAATATGGTCTCCAAAGCATAAAATATCGCGTCCTCGAACTCTCAGCTACAAAAATTCATAATTACTTTTATTTAAATTCAAGATAGCGGATATGAAAATGGCCATTTTTCCAAAATGCAAACGGCCGAAAAAAAATTTCGGGTAATGTTTTTCAAAAAGTGATTGGATTTGCTTGAAAATAGTTACTTGGGGGTTTTTGCGGTTGCTGATTACGAATCTGATATCATTTTTTCAAAATTCAAAATGGCGGATCCAATATGGCGGACATATTTTTTAAAAAGTAATTGGATTTGCTTGAAAATAGTTACTCGGGGGTTTTTGTGGTCGCTGATTACGAATCTAATGTTACTTTTTTTAAATTCAAAATGGCGGATCCAACATGGCGGACAATTTTTTTAAAAAGTGATTGGATTTGCTTCAAAAAGGTCATTCGGGGGTTTTTGGGGATGCTGATTACGAATCTGATGTCACTTTTTCAAAATTAAAAATGGTGGATCCAATATGGCAGACAATTTTTTAAAAAGTAATTGTATTTGGTTCAGAATGGTCATTTGGCGGTTTTTGAGGATCCTAATTACGAATTTGACT